TGTGTGTGTGTGTGTGCGTGCACACAGGCGCATCTAAACGCAACTGTCCATATTCACCTGGCGCCAACTTTTGCTCGTGTGCGTTAAGTTATATTAAGCACCTGTCCGCATGTTTGATGCCGCTACAAAGAGTGCCAGATGTGCCTCCCACGAATACGTGCATTTTATATAAAGCACAGAGTGGAGGCGCTTGTAATTTCGCTACGTATGTTAAACGCCTAGCCATTTAAGTACGCGCCCCCTTTCAATTAAGTACACGGCTTTGAATTAAGTTAACGCCTTTATTAGCACCGAGCCGCTAATTTTGATGGCAATAGTTGTAATTTCATGTAATTCGTATGCAGAGTGGCGGCGCCTAGATTCGTCTTCTTTTCTCCGCACATTTCTTTCTTTCTTTCTTTTTTTTTTTCTCTCCTTTCGACAAACTCGCCGTCGATCTTTTCGTCGCGATAATTCTTCGTCCCGCATTTTTCCATGATTTTGAATATCAATATCGAATTAATCCGATCGATTTCCTTGCAGGAAACACACTCTCAACTGCCACAGGATGAAGCCTGCCCTGTTTTCTGTTCTCTGCGAGATCAAAGAGAAAACAGGTGAGTGATTTTTCTTTGCAATAACATTTTCATTTACCAGTTTTTTTTTTTCATCACGCTTGATTTGCTCCACTCGAATCATTAAACATGACGCACGTATGACTCGCTCATTTCGCGCCGTGCTAACAGATGAATGGAATTTTTAAATGAGTCTCAATTTTGGAAGCGATAAACTTTCTCGTTCGCGTGTGACGCATCTTTCCCGAGACGCGTTGGCGGATTCCAATGCGGTTTCTCTCCCGTGTCGGGCCGACAATGCCCGCCCGTGTATTTATGTCGCGTGTGTATTTCACGCGGAAATCGAATGTTGCGAGGATGCATTATTATTTTTGCAGCGTCATTGATTATATCCGCGCGTGAGCAGTGCTCCAGCCCCGTTCCTCGATGCGAACGAGTTATTGTGCATCATAAATCATAGGTCTTATTTAAAGCGCTGACTTTCGGCGCCCGGGTATGTTTGAAATTGATTTTTAAATTGCGTTTTTAACTCGCGCGGAATCGATATTGCCGGTACAATCCCGGTACGAGCTCGGCTTACGATATTTTACGTACACCATCAGAGGGGGGATCCCTGCGACCTTGGAGTCGTTGCGAAAGAAACGTGATAATGGGCTATATTTTACGTGATAAGGCTATATTTTAAGACGTATCAACATTGAAAATCGAGCTCGCCGAGACTCGCAAACGCTTCGAGAGAGTTTGGTCTCTCGGTACGCGAAAATTTCTCGGCGGATAACGTCAACGTTCGTTGTATCGCGGCTCATAAACACGGTGGACCGAAACCGAAAAATTGGGAGAGAGATCCCTATCTCAGCGCGCGACTCACGTTTACACTCCCTTTGGCCACCCTTCGGTCGCGCGACCCCTGCGAGACCCATTCGAAACTCGTAAACATAATTTTTATGCGTTGTTTGGATTACTTTTACGCGCGGATCAAGAGACCGCGAAACGCGCAATTATTTCCGGGGGATGCGATCGAGGAAGGAAAAGTGGAGGGTAAAATCGCGGGGGAGAACGAGGAGAGGGGGAGGGGAGGGGAATATCCGAGAAAGATCGGTGGGGGCTTGGTCGCTACGTCAAAAGTATCCGTCGGGGGTGGAAGGTTCACACCACGCCCCTCATGCTAAGCTACCCTCTTTCACATTGCTTCCCCGGCGATATGTATGCGTGCATGCATGCGGGCGATACACGCACACATGTATACAAGTAGTCACGAGGGTGTCGTTGGCGCAGAAAGGGCTGTGACGTCAACAACGACATTCCACATTTCTTTGACGTTATATTTTCGAACGTTGAAAGAGGGCATCCTTTTTCGCCTTCGGCGAGGAAAATCACCATTGATTGTTTTTCGGGGAAATTTGAGTGCAAACGATTGATATTTACCGACGCATCCCGGAAAACCTGTGCATTTTTGTGACGCGCTTTCCCTTGCCTTTATTGCCCTTCGCCATCGTTGTATCCTCGTTTGTCGTCTAACTCGGATATATTGGGATTTTAAATCGTGCTTTATCTCGAAACCAGAGATATTGACCTTTTCGTTTCGGTTTTGTATAGCATCTAACTCAAAAGGAAATCTGGTTCTCATCAAGATATTTTGTTAGGAAATCGTAATCTCTTTATGATTTCTTATACACAGAGCTTCTTAAGCTGACATAATTGATTATCTAAAAAATGAGATGTATATTTATAGTTCTATTCTAATACCAAGGTGGTCTAAGGATTTCCTTTATAATCTTTTTATTGAGATATTCTTTGAATAGTCTACACAAGAATATTTAGCAATATGTTTATTATAATATATATAATGATTTTATTCTTCAGTATATATTACAGCCAAGAAAGGTGACTTTACACAAAATAACCTTAAGTTCATTCATTCATTCATTCATACATCTCTCACATTTCTTATTTAATCACAGAGCTCCAACTTCCGTTTTAGATGCCTAACTCTACAATTCTACAATCATATTTACAAAATTAGCAAAATTTTCAAAAATTTGAAACAAATTTGGGATGACATTTAAATCGATATCTTATGACACAACGTCGCTTTCTATCTTTTATGTAAAATATTTGATTTTGGAATTTATGAAGGTTTAAACAAGAGTATTGTTAAGATAAGTAACAGTCGTTTGAGATACGGATTGCATTGAAGCGATTCGACGCGAAGAGGAAAAGCGACGAGAGCGAACAAAGAACAAGAGAGAAAGTTTTGGTTGGAGTTTATCGTAAACAAAAGAGCGTCGAAGTATGATGAACACTCGAGTCGATGAATCGTTTAACGGTCCTGTATCTTTATGAGTTCCGGCCGGCTGCGTGCAGTGCTCGCACGCGTGCGCGACGGAAAAT